ATCACCACCCCATAACAGTGACAGCCCCGTCACCCCCCCAATGGTGACACCATCACCACCCCATAACAGTGACAGCCCCGTCACCCCGTGCCGGTCCCAGGGGATCTCCTGGCACTGAGATGCTGCTCGGAGCGGCCGCAGCTCCGGCTCATCCCCCACTCCCTGCCAGCCCCACGCCAGTATCTGCAGCAACACGAAAACCCAGCCGTGTGGAAAATTGTCATTTTGAAACTGCATTAATTAATCGGGGACTGAAAGACATGAGTGACGTGTCCCTGTGACACGGCGTCGGGAGGGACGGGGCTGCGGGAGGGAAACGGAGCCTTTCCATGGAAAAATCACCCAAAAACGCACGTGCCACACCGGCAGCTTCCGTTCCCTGCACCAAAACCTCACACTGAACCTCAGAAAAACCACCTGAAAACGCCCAGGAAGAGGCAGGAGGGTCTGAATCTGATTAAATCCGTGGCAAAAAATACCCACCCCTCGTGCTCCCAGTGCAGCCTGTGAGACACGGCACAGAGACAGCGGCTCCTTCCTCCTCCTCCTCCTCCTCCTCCTCCCAGACTGAGCCTCACCCTCACCCAGGGAAGGAAAAACAACCCATGAAGGTGAAAAGCCAGGAGGAAACACGGTGCCAACACCCAAACTGGAGACAGGCTGAGGAACCAGAGCTCCCCTTTCCTGGGAGGGAGCCAGAGCAGGGGGTGGGAACATTTTGTGTGTCGAACATTTTATGTCCTGAAGCTCGTTCCCCAGGTCACATCTCGTGTCCTGGGACCTCAGGAATTTGTTACTTGGAATCCCAGAATCCCTGAGGTTGGAAAAGCCCTCCCAGCCCATGGATCCCCCCTGTGCCCCATCCCCACCTTGTCCCTAGCCCAGAGTGCCACAGCCAGGCCTTCCTGGGACACCTCCAGGGCTGGGCACTCCAAACCTCCCTGGGCAGCCCCTCTGTGACAAACACATCCCTATACTGACCCATGGTGGGTTTTGCAGATCACAGAATCCCAGAGTGGTTTGGGTGGGAAGGGACCTTAAAGCCCATCTTGTTCCACCCCCTGCCATGGGCAGGGACACCTCCCACCAGCCCAGGTGGCTCCAAGCCCTGTCCAACCTGGCCTTGGACACTTCCAGGGATCCAGGGGCAGCCACAGCTTCTCTGGGCAACCTGTACCAGGGCCTCCCCACCCTCCCAGCCAACAATTCCTTCCCAATCTCCCATCTCTCCCTGCCCTGTGGCAGTGGGAAGCCATTCCCTGTGTCCTGGCACTATAGATGTGCTCACTCCTTGGATCCCCAGCGATGCCCACACCCCCTCCACGGGCTCCTCAGCCCTGGGCAAGAGGAGATGTTTTTGTCACTGACATTCCTCTTTGAGACACGCTGTCTGCATCCATATTCTTAGAGAAACACGTGAATTTTTCGTTTTAACTCCTTTTTAGCCGCTGGGCAGCAGCTGGCTGGGCTGGGCCCATCTGCATCCCAGGGCCAGCGGAGGGGAGGGCCCGGGGATGTCCCTCACCCACACCCTGCCGTGGCTCCTGGAACACACAGTGATTCTGAGAACAGCTAAACACAGCGATTCTGAGAAAAGAACAGCCCGTGAGGTGCCACTGATGGCACACACAGGGCAGGGCTGTGCTCCTGCTCCCCTCTCCTCACTCGGTGGCCCCACACGACTCACCCCAACGCACTGGGGGTTCGAAGGAGGATCCGAAAGTTGTCGCTTCAATGAAGACCTGACAGTCCCCCTCATGAGAAACACGGGCTGGCCCGGGCTGGCCCAGCTGGAACCGTGCTGGCAGCGCCCAGGCCAGGACCCCAC